AAAAAGTGTTAAAAATGAAATATAGAATTCTAAAGGAATATTTGAATAATATATATAATAAAAACGATTTTAATTTCAATTGCTACAAAATTTTACACAATTTAAGGCATGAATACTTTTGCGATTCCAATAATTTCAATACAAGTTCAGTCACTAAATGCTTCACTAAATACAAACTGTTTATCAGTTGGAAACTTGAATTAAAATTAATACAAAACTTTCAGTTTGAATTTGATTAGACATAATTACCTTTGGAAGTTAGTTGTTTTTACTTCATTATGATCACGGAACCTTTTGTGTGAAAACCCTTTCAATATTGTAACTAAAGTTGAAGTTGAGATATGATTAATCGCACAAACAAGCGAGCTTTGTATAATATTTTAAGTAAACTTCGTGATTTTGATTTTGACTTTTGCTGATATATTTCAAGGATATACAGGATAATAAGCACACATGTATGTTGGCTTGTGTGAATTATACAAACAAGACTGCTGCAAGTGCACCTAAGGTTGTGTGCAAATATGTTAATGCATGCATTTACAAAGTATTCCGGCGTTTTGCTCGTATTCCGTGCGCATCCTTAAAATGCATGCAATAATATGTGTTCGTATGTGTGTTTGTAACTTTGCGATATATAAAAATGGCATTTACGTTACGTTGGCGTTTGGCTGCTACTGTTGTTACCGTGTTTGCGAAAGAAATTTACTGCCAGCGCATTACTGACATGGATGTTGTTGGCATGTGAAAGTGCAAAAGAGGGTCACACATGTAATAGCACGTGTTATTGAGCTAAGCACCTTTTAAGCATCCACTACGCTTGGCATCAAAATATACGCTAAGAGGTACTAAATGTGCGCAATTAAAATAATAAACAAGTTTAATTGAAACTTTCGAAAATGCTTCAGAATTAGCAGGGTTTTAAAATTTAACGAACTGAAGGTGGTTCAACAGAATTTAATAAGTGGATTGGCATTAATCTGTAATTAGTAGAACTTAAACTGGTTTGGCTAATTCGATTTTTAGCACATGAAAGTGAAATGAAAGGAAAATTAATGTGAGATACTATTTCAAGCTGATTGCAAGTGAAGGAAAATAAATTGCTTTAAAAAATTTTCACCATTTTCGTTGTTCAAGCGAAAGAAAAAACTGTAAAGAAGTGAAAATAATTTTCAGTAAATGTACTTTAAGATGAAGATTTAAATGAAAATTTGTTTTATAATTTTTAAAAAATAATTTTTCCAGTAGAGAAAGCATTGTCTTAATATAATTTAGCAGAGTTTTGTAGTTATTTTTCAAAAAAAAACAAAATAAATGTAAAGGATTTTCTATTCCAACATACCATTTAGGGACACAATTTAAATTAAAATTAGAAAAGAGATTCTTAAATGTAACTACTTGCCAGTTTATTCTTAATTTATGTGTTCTTAAGCTGCTACACAATCTAGTAAAAAAAGCACTTCAAAGTTTCTTGTGAAAATATTTGTTGTTCGTCTACTTTAATTTTATTTACATACTCTAGCATTCGAAGATTTAGCCTGTAAATAGTATATGTAGACTTATCCTACTTAATTTAATTCTTTATTTATTTATTTAAACAAGAAATAATTATTCAATTTTGTGTCTTGAAATTACATGTGTCTGTTGTTTTATTCTTCGTTTTCTCAAACCTTTAAAAAAATAACAACCTCATATTTACTAAATAAAAATATTATCAATTTTTAAAAAATTTTCTTTTATGGTCAACTCTCTTATTTTCAATAATTTACTTGTCCGTGTTTGCATGGCCAACCTATATCATTTTTTAAATGTGAATATGTATGCTTTAAGTATGCTTCCTTAAATTCGATAAGGATTTCGAAATTACTGACTTGTGTTAGTTACTACAACAAAAAATAAGTACAGCACGTGATAATAATTAGAAATAAAATATTCACATCATAAAGAGGTTTTTTCAATCAGTAGTGAACTACAACAATAAAAATTTTAATTTTTATATTATTTTAATTAATTGAATTTTTGACTGATCATACAGCTGTTTCGAGTATTGCCAAATACCCATCATCAGTGGTCTTGGAAATAATTTTTATATTTAATTATTCGTAAATAAATTTTTTTTGAGACTGCAAGTACCAGGAATCGAGCTCGGATCCTGCCAAATGTGAAGCTCAGAATCAGCGCACCTTGACCAACTAATCCAAAGCCGTACTTGACTTTTTTGTTCGCATATTTTTCTGGAGTTTTGTTACTTTTGCTATGAAAGTTTTTATTAACAATTTTAATTGCTGTTTTTATATTAGAACGAAATCATAAACCAGCTGTAGAATAATTAATTTAAATAATTAATTATATATTTTTTATTTTTAATTGTTAAATTTCAATACTATTCTTTTTGTAGAAGCATTATTTGTTGCTTAATTACATCACACGAAATATTCTCGCTAGTATGAGAATTCAAAAGTGTCAAATAGGCACACATGACACTACAAATCACTTATGTAGATAAATATAGAAGACTTTATGTTATATATGAAGTTATATTAAAATGGCTGCATTATTAGCTTAAATTATATCACTAATTTTGTTATATATAAACGTATTATCCATGCCTTGGGAGGGACTACTGATGTCACTTCTTGCTTCTGTAAACAGCACACTCTTAGTATCATAAAAATCAACTAATTTCAAATTATTTACGTTAAATATTTTATTGTAATCGAAGTCCATTAACGCATTAAGTACCAGGCAAGTTCAAACTTGGAACTTTATGGTGAAATTTTCTGAAAGGTCTTATTTTATATTAAAAATATTCCCTGCAAAATTAAATTTTTTTTTGAAAAGTACTTTTCCGGAATAGTGCAGTGTGGTCATGTGTTAAAAATGTATTAAATCTATTAAAAAAGAATGAAAGGTTCATACTTTAATGTTATTTCCAAAATAGTGAGTCAAGATTTAATATCCTAGACTTTCAGCAGACTGTTTTTTTTGAAATAACTCCAAATAATTCCAAATTGCCTTTGCTATCTCCTGAGCATGCATATTGGTTTTACTCCACCACTTGAACAATTTTATCGTCTTTTTTAGTGACTGATCGACCAAAGCCGCATTCGGATAGCGTAACTTAATCGGGTTAGTATTTTAATATACATGGGTATTAATACCGCGGATAGCTTTTTTATATAAACTATTATTTATATCAAACCAAAGTATAGCATTTCTTCTTATAGAAGTATGATTAGCATTTGCGGACTTGTTATAACAATACAGTTTTAATACACTGATTTATATACACTACGGTTAGCAGATCTTTTAAGTCATATATTTTTTAAACTCAACTATTGACTAATCTCATTAATTTGTGGTATGGGTTTATTAGATAAGTTGTTGATTTTTTAGACCTGAAATCTATATAATTAACATGGTAAAATCGAACAATTTCTCCTAAGAATTTTTCAAAGTTCATATATAAATGAATGTAGTGTTAAAGTCTTTATATTGAAAAATTTTGTATTCTATGGCAAGTAATACATTTCGAATTATAAAAGTATTAATTTTTTTAACAATTTATTTAAAGAAAAAAAATTTTTGTTAAATGACATTGAACATAATATAAGAGATATAATAAATATTTTCTCATAAATTCTAATTAACCTTCCTTTCGTTTCTATTTTGCTTTTCCAAAAATTCTATTATTTTTCCAACTGCATCCCCAAGTTACACATCTCAGGCGTTAATAACAAAATACCAATAGCAGTGAACGTAATTCTTGTAATTAATATAACTCATTAAGTAGACATTAATTTAATGCATTCTCAAACACTTTGGTAAGCTTAGTAATTTCCTATAAACATTCCAATTAATATTTTTCCTGCTTACATACTCAAAAACTTTTCGAAGAATCACACTTACACTTTTAATCTCTTAATTGTTATAATTTCAACAAAAACTATTAAGTGTTATCCGGATTTATGCAACTTAATTCCCATCATCATTTATACGTACACTGTTAGCAAATTGTCTGGCGTTTCTTATAAAATAATTGAGATAAACAGCTTAAAGAGCTTACCCATAACTTGTAATAACCGCAACACCTACACCCATATTCACCCGGTTGGGTGGCACACATACACATAGACATACACCCAAAACGCTTGACAGTCCATGATAATAAATACTACTTACTTATTTAGTGTGGCCGCCAACGCCAAATCGGGACGAACATCAAAACGGCTCTGCATATAGAAACGCAATAAATTATCACGTTCATTTTCACGTAATCCTTCCTTGAGTGCTAATGCGCCCAGTGTGTGATATGACTCCGACTCCGTGACGCCGAATAATAAATCATAACTAAAAAATCATAATATTTAATATCAGCAGAAAATGGTGCAAGTGTGTGTAAATAGGAAATTTACTTAATATTTTACTGAATTATATATATATATATTTATTCTTGTGTGTAGTTAGCGAGGATAATAGTTTCCACATTAGTAAGTATTTACAGTATGTGAGTGCTTAAGTAGATGCGTGCATTTACCACTAAGCACTTTTAATACATTAGCCAAAAAATAAATAAAAAATTTTGCTATTAAATTTTTCCTTCTATTTTTTTTTTGTGTTAAAATTTTTAAATAAATAATGTTTAGTATAAGAAAAGCAGTAGTAAAGTATTAGTCTTCTTCTAACAAATGCAAGTAAAATATTATTTTTACTCATGTTCAAGTATCTGAAAGCATTTAATCTATTCAGTATTTGCTGCTTCTAGAAAATTAAAAGGAAGAATATCGAAAACTCTTATTCTTTCTTCACTTAGAATTGCAAAATTCCTTTATTGACTTCATTTTAATTAAGTAAATTGCATTTGACATTCGTAAACGTATACCATCAAATTGTTTTTCTAATAATTGAGAACTTGCAGAGCTCAAAGTCACTTCCTGTAATTGCAATTCATACATTTTTACATATAAAAAAATATTTGGTCATACTTTAGTGCTTTTTATTGCTCTGTTGCCAGTGCGTACCACTCAGAATTTGTGAATTGTACTTTCAACATTTCAACAACAGGACACAAATACAGCAAACCAAGGAGGAAGAGCAAAAAATATTTACTTAAAAACTACATTTTTGATCCTACATCCTACATTCTACATTTTACATCCTTTTGATACCAAAAACTTCAACTTTTGTGTAGTTTGTTAATAAGCTTGCTGCATGCTTGTTAGTGAAAATTGAAACTCGATTGAAAAACATTACAAACCGACTAAAGTGCTCCGTATATTGTCCCATCACTTTATATGGTTGATCTGGTATGACATGGCCATCAACAATTGGTCCCAATGTTGTTGAGAATTGCGAAAACGATGTTGGTATTTTCTGTATGTTCTCGTAGCTGCAATAAAAATAATAAATGCAAAAGGATATAGGAGTATAAAAGAAAAATTTAAATAGCGCATTATTAACTCAATAAAATTAAATGATAAGAATAATAATAGAGAAATAAAATGGCGTATTTATGTGCTTGTCTGCATGACAAGGACTTGAGCAAGGACTTTCTGTATAAACAAATTGGCTGACAAATTGACTGATAAATTGGCATGTACTGTGATATGTACAGAAGTCAATATTTTTATGGTGTATGGAAATACTATAATCACATGAGCTCATGTTGTATGGTTAAATCAATATTTTTGTAAGATGCATACTCAAGTTTAAGTGACACATTTCGAAAAGAAATATTCAAAAAAAAAATTTTTTTCCACATTTAAGAGAGGAAACGTATTCGAGTGCTTTTTATTTGGTTAAATATTTATTAAATACATTTTCAGTTATAAAAAATAATATGCATTAAATATTAAATGTGGTGTGATATCTGTTTTTTTATATTCATATCAAAACTCTTACGAATCACACAGCGATAGATGATAAAACATATAATTATTACGAATCTCAGATACTCGTATGTGTTGAAAAGAAAATTCAATTTAAATTTTTAAAATTAATGTAGTGGAATTTCACATGGGGTTTGTGACAATAAAGTTTTTTTATAACATAGTTGGGGCTTCCAACCATGCTATAGAACTCAGTGAAATAATAAAATTTTATGTGTGTATATTTGTTTTTTGTGACGTTTTAAATTTACCGAGTTACGCACATGTTAGTTCGGTGAACTATAAGCTGATTTTTAAAATTGTTTAAATTTAATTTCTTGCTTTTATTTAACACTTTCGCCAGTTTATTGAGAAACAATTAAAAAGAAAGTGCCTTCGGGCATTTATCATGTTACCACTTTACCGAGTATTAAATTGTTGGGCTACATGTGAATATGTCTAATAAAACTAACCAGTAATAAGATTTACAATTTAGTGTAGGCTCTATACTTAGTGAATAATATTAAAATCAATAACAGTATTGACAAGTTTCAATACATTGGGGCTGTTTGATAAGTGACAGAAAAAATGAAGGAATTGAACTTAAATATAATCTTAAATATTTTTCAGAGTAGTTGTGAGTTCACTTTTTATATGTTTGTGTTTTTGAAAAAGCTAATGTAAAAAAAAATGAAATATATATATAAAAAGTATTCCTTTTATATGTTACCAAGAAGAGTTGTAATAATATTCCGTCCTGAAAAAGAAGTCAAACAAACTTTAAAATGTTGATGATATTTATATAGAGTACTACATAAAAATTAAAATTAAAAAAAGAAAAAGCTGAAAGGTCAGGTAAAAATTCAATTAATTAAAATTATATAAAAAGCATTTTTTTTTGTAGTTTACTACTTTTCAAAACCTCTCTAACAAAATACAATTAAGTGAAATAGTCACTATCGCCATAACTGACATTAAAATATAATTTATAATATAAAAATAATTTACAATTTTTTATCCACATAAAACTTTTCAAAAACATAATTATCTATTTTTCTTTTTGCTACAGGAATAACCTAATTTCTTTATTCAACATGTAGAGTTCTTAAAAATCGTTAAAATATTCATTTATTGCAGATAATATAATTGAAGTTAAAAACTGGTGTAACAGTTAATGATGTTTAGTAAATCCGTTAAAAATAACTAATACTCCATAAACTAAGAAATTGAAATTTGGAAATTAGACAGCATTTGATCTACGACATAACAATTAGCTTGCCAAGTGAAGTTAATACTTCGGTATAATTATAAACAGCAAATTGAACTTAAATTTCAACCTTAATCGTACTTTAAAAAACTATAATAGCTCTTTGACTATATAAAAAAATCCGTAGAAGGAATCGGTTGTTCAAACTGATATGCTTGAGCAAATTATTCTTTTTGACTTTGGTAACCACCACTGCTAATTAATTAGAAAAGTTACAGCGGCACTATATACCATATCAGGTATACCATTCAAATCTTTTAATGTATAATAAACATTTACAATGTCAAACCAGCATTTATGCTCAGTTTTATTGACAGATTAAATTAAGCTTGCAGACTATAGCTTTTATTTTCAATACTTCTAAATGCGTTATTCTATTAAAACATTTAATTTTGCAAATGAAGTTAAGAATATCACTATCATAAGCAGCTCAACCTGTACTCTATAGCAAAGACATAGAAGAAATTAAATAATCCTTTTTTTTCAGAGTAATTCTTGAGCAGTCTTATCATTGAAATTCATTTGGCAAAGTTATGGGAGCTGAACACTTGTAAACCTCACAGATATTAGTTAATATCTATTGACTACAATTCACCAATAGTAATAAATTAACTAATAGTTAAGATTGTACTAGTCATATCCAATAAAAGGATGTTTAAAAATAAAATAATTTGCCAAAGTTGAAGAATTCGTATCATAATACATCGCCTCATTAGTACTTCAGTAAGAAAACGTTCTGTGGCTTTACAAAAACTCAATAGATCTTTGTTTTTTCTCCTATTTAAATTACTCTGACCGGTCATAACGACTCATTACCTATGCCGTTAGCACATAGGTTATGCGTAATCGCAATGGTTAACAAACCATTTACATACAAACTTGCAGTTAACTAAATTTTGTTTTTAATTTTTTAAAAATGTTGAGTCTTACTGATTTATTTTAAATTAAGATGCTATCTCATTTGTCTAACCAAGATGGTTTGTGAATGGAGTGCACTAATTATTCCCTCTTTCAAATTTTTAGTACTCATGCAGCTTAAAAGATAATTATGATATTATCACCTCTTATATATATTTTAAGAAAACTTTATATATAATGAATATATTTATACAAGAGGACTAGTTGTTTGTTTAAATTATTGTGGCGATATTTCATAATTTTACCATAAGTTGAATCTTGTTCTAAACGGTCATTGGTATTTATAAAAAAATGTTTTGTACTTCGTCCTGCTGCTTATTTATAAACCAAGCTATGCTGACTGTTTGCAGAATGATTTATTACTGCCAATTTCAACAAATGAACCTCGAATTAGACAGACTACAGCGAACAAAAAAAATTAATAATAAAAATAATATAAATAAGTTTATATAAATTATATGCCTGCTTCCATGTCTGCTCCCACAAAAATTTTTGATACTTAAAGAGCAAAGTTTAGTATGAATATTCTCGTGATGGCCACATTTTCTCGTATTGTCTGTCATCAAATTGTATTTCCCATTATTATCCCGGGATTATTAAATGCTTATTTGCGTAATCTTTCCATCCAACGTGGTGCACTGGGTATCCATCCAAGTCATCAATTTGCTACTGAACTGTATACCAAACTGAAAGTTTATTTTGCTACTTTGCTTTTTGTTTGCACAATAGACTGACTATTGTAAGTCCGTCCAGCTCAGCTGCAAGCTTATTTTACCAGCTTCACTTATCGGTTTATTTGTTTGTTTATCCATCCGTACTCGTAGTACCACTCCGGAGGAATTAGGCAATAGCAATCAATAAAATTAATTTGAAATTTGAGTAAAACTTTAAGTGTTTACTGGTTAAGCAATATCTGTATTTAGAAATGCATAAAATAAATTGCTTTACCATAGTTGAATATGCAGCAAGAATGAGAAATCAGAAAGTTTAAACTGCAATGCTCCAGTATAATTAAAGCAAAAATAATTTTTGCACTAAGCTAAGCCTAAACTGTTGCTGACACCAACAGAAAAGTTGTTGACAAATAAATTTACATGGGACATGGGATCCGACGAGGACTTTAAAGAGTAAATAACAACAACATATCCTTGGTAAAATGCTGTCATTGTTTTGTTTAATAAATATGCAGAGACAACAAAAACGACAACATTTTAGAAGGAACGGCACAAGGAACTTTAACAAATTGCAACTGCCAAAAAGTCATAAATCACAATTGCATAAATCTGACAAAATGATAAAGTACAATTTACAAAAATAAGCAAAACTCAAATATTAAGGATGATTACGGTAGGAAGTGTGGATTTTGTAAAGGCACTGATTTCAGTAATAAAAATATGCAATAAATTGTGGTGAAGCAACAATTGTTGTGCTCTTTGCGCTGTTCAAATGGTTCAGCCATATGTGACTGCTTCTACATTTGCACGTTGAGCATGGAAGGCGTACAAATCTGCACCTCTCTATTGACTTTGGCTTTTCCAAGGATTCCATTTTTATTGGTGTACACTTTTAATATTTTATGTTTTGCTGTGCACTTACTTTTGAGATTCAATTTTCATGTTTGTATTGCTGACGAGATTTCATAGTCTCACATATACTACACGAAAGGAATTGCCATAAAGTAGGAGCAACACGAACTGCGAGCAACACATTTCAGTTACAAACTAAACCAAAGTATTCCTATAAAATCAAATACATCGCATCAACTTGTCTAACTAATATTAAATTGCATTACAAAACTTATTACTCGAGAAATCAAACTTTTCAAAGCTCAACAAGCCGTTGCCAAAACTGCCAGTACTGCCAGGACTGTTGCTGTTGCCGCTCCTATTTCTGTTTCTGTTGATTTCACTGTTGTCGTGACTGATATTGCTGCAGCGAGATGATTATTACTAGTTTAAAATTATGATAGAAGTCATAAAATCATATGGCAGCTACTTTCCACCATTTTCTCTGCCTTTTATTGCAGATAACAAAATCAGAAAACTATTTCGATGCCATGAAACTTCCTTTATTTTATGCGTACATCGTAGTCACAGCCAACATAAACATAAAAGTTTCTGCAGTCGAACTTTACTAGTCAAAATCATGTATTCAACGAATACAATTGAATTGAATAGTAATAAACTACAATGGAAACAATCGGCCCGAATATATGAATATATTTATATCCATAAAAATATATTTATGTGTACGTATTAACATATGAACATAAAGTAGAAGCTACACATACGAGTTGCTCAGTTTTTATGGCATATGTTTAAGTATTTATGAGGATAT